ATGAGCAGAAGGAGGCGCAAGGGATGGTTGCGTTTTTTGAAAACACATTAACCCCACCCTGCATTTAACACAGAAACATTGTCATGCCACGTTGTGTGATTTGAAGAAGGCGCCGGGGAGGCGTCATATACAAAACGCCCTACCCCACTGCACTTTCTATATGCCACGTGCCACGCCCATGCCACGTCATTAATTGAAGGCGTCGGGGGGAGGCACCATCTGGAAAATGTCGTTTCCCCCTGCGCTTTCTATGCCACTTGTTCGCTTCCGTGTCAAAAATCACCTACTTTAATAATTAATTTTTTTTTAATTTATTTTATATAATTATTTATTTTTTTAATTTATTTGGGCTAAAAACCCAATTTCAGTGTGGGGAGTACATGCCTTATCATCCCCCTCCCACTTTTCCTTAAAATTAATTTTAAAAAAAAAGTTTTAAAACCAATTTTAGAGGGAGAGGGGAAATCAGTTTCAAAATCAAATTTGGGATTTAAAACTGGTTTTAAAATTGATTTTAAATTCATTTTAGTTCAAAACCATATAAACATAACCGTCACTCCCCATTAACACGCCGCCCACACGTTTTCGAGACCGAAGCAACAGTTATGACACATGGCGTCTTCACAGGCAGGCGTACGCGAAGGGTCACTTCTCCTTAACGAGCTCGGTCTTAACTCCTCGACCCACAGTCTTCAGAGCTCGGGGAGCTAGTGTACTATCCGTACCGCCATGCCGAGCCCAAACTCACCATCTCAGCGCAAAGTGACCTCGGACACGCGCTGGGTGACGTCAGCTCGGTATTCAAATAGGTCATAACTAATCTCGGGCCCAAGGCCCAACAAAACGCTAATCCACACAAAGGTACGTGCATTACTTATACGAGATTCATACTCCCACAAAGACTAACTTTAGCATCGGAGTCTCTTTTGCAGGTACCACCCCCATCCTGAAGCAACCAACGTACCGGCGAAGGAGGCCCACTGATCTTACCCAGCGGACCATCTCTACATCGGATCCCTGGTAAGAACACTTATTATTGGGCCAAGACAACACCAAAAAATAATATTGCGCGAAGAGTTTGAATAGTCAGTGTGGGTATACAGAATAACCAAATGGATCAAACCACATCTTGAAAACTTTGTTTTACAATTTGTTTTTTAGTTTTTTTTTACCATAATCACATTTTTACAATCGGGTACAACCGTACAAGTTCTGAGCCCTAGTACTCTCTATGAGCAGCACCACTTGATACTATTTCATTCCATATAAGGTGAGTACACGTTGAGCCCATTTGAGTGATGTGTGGCTGCTAGTTAATTGGTCTCTGAATCAATTTCAGTGGCTTTTTAGCCTAAATAAATTAAAAAAAATTACACAAAATAAATTAAAAAGAAAAACTAATCACCAAAGTAGGTGATTTTTGATATGGAGACAGACACGTGACATAAAAAGCGCAGAGGGTAGGGCGATTTTCAGATGGCGCCTCCCCCCAGCGCATTCAATGTTTGATGTGGCATGGAAATACAAAGCGTAGGGGGTTGATGCGTTTTCTAGATGGCGCCTCCCCCCCGGTGTCTTCTTCAAATCACACAACGTGGCATGACAATGTTTCTGTGCAGGGTGGGATTAATGTGTTTTCAAAAAACGCAACCATCCCTTGTGCCTCCTTCTGCTCATCTCATCTGTTCCTTTTGCACTATCCGTTCTAAGTTTCTCGATTTTTTCTTCTCTGGTGATCCAGGTAAGTATTATATTAGGTTTATTTTATTTGGAATTTAATTATTGAGGATGAGCTGGATCAAACCATTACATTTTCTATTTTAATAATTAAATTCCAAATAAAATAAACCTAATATAATACTTACCTGGATCACCAGAGAAGAAAAAACCGAGAAACTCATAACGGATAGTACAAAAGGAACAGATGAGATGAGCAGAAAAAGTGTAATATAAGTTGTAAAAAAGTTGAGGTGCTTATAAACAATTGCCTTTGGAACAAAAGTTGTAAAAATATAGTATGAGTTGCTTATAAGTGACGTGGCACAGTGAGACCCATTTAAAATGGTTGGGAGTTGCTTATAAGCAACTCCCACTGGAGATGCTCTTATGAAAAACTGACGTAATAGTGACAAGTCAAAGTGTAAACAAAGATACATTTTTTAGCACACTAACATCATTATTGTCCGATATGCGGAAGAATAACATTTGATATTCTTCTAAAAAATATTTAGAGGACTCAAGTTAAATATTTTAAAAATATAGAGGAGTCAAATTAAATAATTTATATAAAAATAAAGTTCTGAAGAATAATATTTTATCATTATATTATTAATGTAAAATATTGATCAACTTTACTAATGACTAATATGCACTAGAGTTTAGAGTACCTAACTTATTATTTTTAGAAGAGTCTTTCTTTTTAATCACAATTTTTCTATTTACAATACTCAAATTTGAAATATTATTTAAGATATTTAAACTTAATTTCATTCGGTATAACAAATTATTGGTCACAAAAAAATAATTTAATCTAACTTAAAAGATTGTTTGATTGAAATATTTTTTGAAATGATGCTTAATGAAGTTTGAGTACTAAATTTGTCAATCAATTGATATGTGATTACTTCATTTTAACAAGCAATTTCAAATTTAATTTTTGAATATGTAATTATGTTTGACACTTAGAGGCAAAATTTTACTACACAGTACTTATATTCAGCTCGAACAAATTGTCTTTCATAAATAATATATCATCTCTAAATAAAGAAAAATGTAAAGTTTTAAGTCTATAGATCGATTAACTTTTAATTTTTCAGATGATAAATTGTTTGAAATAAATTAAAACATAAAATCTTAACTATTTTAAAATATATATAATTACCAAAATTTATCAACATTAGGTTGAGATGAGTAAAATTTAGTCTGGATCTCTTAAATAAAATATCATATTTGAGCCTTGTGAAAGAAAAATGTCATAGTTGGAGGGAGAGAAATTTTATTAAAAGTGATTAATTTAATTTTTCAGCACAATTTAGTTATTAATAAAATCGATAAATATTTCTCTTTCGATGAGTTTTTTTTGTATGCATAGCCAATAAATAATCCAAATATATTACAAAGTATTATTTTTTTTTACCAAATTATGAATTATAATGAAGTAAATAAATATTTGTAAAAAAATTAAATAAATATTAATTTTATCATTTTATAGTTATCAATTAATTTAATAGTTAATTTTATGAAGCACTTTTTCTTCAATTACCAAACTTACTCACAACTTTCTGTTAGTTTTTCGACTTATAGTGTTACCTAACATACACATTACATGTTTAAGCAGAAATAAAATAAAATGAGTGGTTCAAGTTCATTGATTTGAACAACCATTGTTTTAAGTTGAAACATTGTATTGCGTATATAAGCAAAATAAATAAATAAAGAGACAACAATCCTTTCAAGGTGAAACATTATATTGCATATATAAATAAATAAATAATAATAAATAAAGAGAAAAAGTTCATGTAGCAAGTAGCAAGTCATCATATTTGAATTCATGGAGTTGAACAAAGAAAGATTTTCATGCTAGTTTGGTTTAGATTTTAACATAACTTATTTCCTTTGGTTTGATTTTTTTCCGTCAGATTGATGCAAACTAATGAACATCCTTAATTTTGCTTTAGCTCTTTGGGTCTCTATCAAAATTTTAAACCCAAAATAGATTTTGAGGTGAAGCAAAGGCAATTTTTTGTGCATTCAATTTATAATTTTATTAAAAAATTAATTTTATTTCAAACCCAACTTTAATCAAAATCAACTTGACTAAATCCAAATCATCTAAAATCAAATTAACGGATTTAGTTTTTCGAGAGTTAGAAAATCAACAATTAAGAATCGTGTTAAAAATAAATTCATGCAGAATAAAATCTAAAAGTAACTATGCTGTTAGTAATTAATTTTTTAATTAATAATTATTATTACAGTTTATTTTTTAAAGTAGAATTAAGAAGAGGCAAATCCCACATTTACAGACTGTACTAGACGGCTGGGCCCTTTAAATCGGCCACGAGGGCCCAGCGGGCCCGAGCAGCCAGGTCCATGGCCCATGAGGCAGTTATAAAAACACTTGATGTTACCTTGAATCTACATTATCCCCCAATTAGCATATCTACTTAGCAGTTAGCAGGTAACCATTTTATAAGGCTTAGGCTATTACATTTACATACGATAATTATCTAGCTATTTACACTATATATCTGCTTAATGATAATCATCCAACAAGATATTCAGCTTATGGATAAAACTTCATCACTTATGTAAAGGCTCACATCTATCACTTTTCACTTATTACATTCATACTCGTGATAATGCTTCTTACTTGAACCTCAGTCTTTTTTTGCAGATGCTTCCAATGCCGGTGTTGAAAAGCATAAACCTACACTCCTAGCAAAGCACTTGCAGATTCAAGTAAGAATGCACGCTTCCTTGGATCTTGGCTTGTTTCTGAAGCTCTTTGCGTGCCACATATTTTCAGTATTTGAGCAATTTCCGATCGAGTTCAATATTTCATTGCAAATTATTAGAGCTTTAATAATTTATAACTGCAGTATAACGTGTTGTTCCTTTAATTGAAAGTCGATTATTGTCCAACTCACTGTAGTATCATAAATTCCATAATGTTAACAAGGATAACGAAACAGTCACACATTTCACGGATTATTATATCAGTAATATTTGGTCAAGGTCCGATTCACATTTATGCTACACAGTAATAATTTAACCAAAGTTTTGCCTAGTCATGAGTTTGGCCTTCTTCACGAATCGGTTTTGTAATGTTTGCCAATGATAACCAACCAAACTTGTCAACTGGGAAGAGTTACTTCCCAATGTTCTCATTCTGGTTTCAGAGAACAAAGATTTGGTATTCAATATAAAGATTTCGCAGTTATAAAATCTGGAATCCATCAAATTTTGATCATGCTCGAGAAACATAGCAAGCATGCATGTCAGGTAAATCAATCTCCCTATTCCGCAGGAATTCATTGGTTTCACTTACCTGAAATTTGAAGCAGTAGCTACATCTTAGCCTATTCCCAATTATAATGGTTAGAATTTGTCTAGTACCAGAACATACAGAACCAGATCAAATTCAGCCCTGAACTGAACATAACCTGCCCACAATACACAACGAGAAAACGCTTCCTACTCCATGTATTAATTTACACAAGCAAACCTGCTGCTTGTAGAGCCAAAATCTGAAAAGCACGGAACTTAAAAACTTGTACAAAGAAACCAGTTCTTAACTAGAAGCAAGCAGTGGCAGAGGTGCTATAGAATCCGCAAATTTATCCATCATCTCCACGTCTTTGGTGTTTGTACATCCTACTGATGAACTACTTCTGTCAACACTTGAGGCCAAATCAGTAACAGATATAGAAGGTTCCATGCCATAGTCAGAGCAACTTCTGGTGCTAACATGCTTTTGCAAATGACCTGCAGGTTCTTCTGAGAATCCTTTTGTGCTCTGATCCAACCGCTTCAAGAAGCACTCCTCTATCTCGCTTAAAGATTCAGCCTCCCCGTCTTCCCCTTCACTGCTATGACCATAGTGAGCATGATCATCATAATCTGATTTGGTTCCTCTCAATTCACCGCTTGTGTCCATTTCTCGCTGACTGTCATATTCATCCTCACACTGGCGATCTGATGAATGAAATGACACGGGAGAATACCCACCCGTGGCTGTTTCTTCGCGTTCTCTGAGTGTCTTCATTATAAGTGTCTTGAGTAAGTTCATCACTTGAACCGCATGCATCAGGGCCGTTAGAGGATCAGACATCTGTTCCAGGAGACGAAGATGAATTACAAACAGACCATTTCCCAGTGTACATTTCTCATGTGCATAAAGAGTATAATAGCCTACTCTTGGCAACTTGTTTGGTTATAAAAACAGGATTACTTATGTGAAGGAAGAAAATAATGATAGTTTATTTTGTTATAACAACATATTATTTACCCAAAACAAAGGAAAATAATAATGTAGGATAAAATACTATTGAAAATATACCTAAATATCTACGGTTTGAAAATAACAAATAATTTAGTTTTTATGATTTTTTGTTATGTTTCAAATTTAATATTTAGTATTTAGTATATTGTTTAGATAAAGATAATATTATTCTTATCATCTAGAAAGTTAATAGAATTTGAATTTTGTTAATAGTTCTTATAAAAGGATGTTATCAGTTTGATTGATCAGGATATTGTTAACAGTATTTGAATTTTGTGCTATACTTTAGCTCTGACCATAGAACCCAAAAATACAAGTTAAAACTCTGCAGCATAACATATATTGTTTCAAAAATATATTTTTTACATAAAGAACCAATAGAAGAACATCAAGCAAACACTAACAATCTCAAGTTATTGACAATGTGTAGTGTGCAAACCTGAGTCATGTTTGGAGCAAAAACCATTGCAATATTTCTTGCATTCATTTTGTTAAACTCCTCCTCCTCTACAACATCAGCCATGAGATCAATAGCCCAGTTAAGTAAGGCAGACTCAGTTGGCTTTAGCTGCTTCACAAGCTCAACAGATTCTTCTTCCGTGTTGCACTGAAGAACTTGCTCCGGAGAAAGTCCATCTAGCACTCCCGAAGGTAGTTCTCTAAACCATGCTTTAATTAGTCCGGCTAAACAGTGGACATCAATGTCATCCGGCACAATGCCCCTATTCAACTGGTCCCTCACATGCTCCTCTTGACTATTCTCTGGATTTATCCGAAATATTCCTTCAGCCTGAAAATTGAAAAGAAAAGAAAAGAAAAGAAGATAGTTAGGGCCTGTTTGTTTATTATTTCTTAAAACAATTTCCATTTTTCCAAAATTTATTCGTTCTCAAAGCATATTTAAAAGTGTTTGTCTCTCCCACACATTTCTATTTTCCTAAAGGTTTGCTTCCTGGAACACTCGACTTGAAAATGCATTTGAAGAAAATAGAAGAGAAATGGAAAAACATCTCCTAGCTGTTTCTATTTTTGGTTTTCAACTTGTTTTAACAAATTTTGGATGAAAAAATGAATTACTGAACAGTGTAGCTTACCTTAAAACAGTTTTAAAACCAAAAAAAAAAAAAAAAAAAAAAAGTGTGGAGGGAATGAAAGACAGTAATGAGTAATGAGTAGCTACCTTTACGCCTCCCTGCGAGTATAAACGGTCCTGCATTAGCAAGAGAATAGTGGGGACACTGTTTCCTTTTGAATCATAAGAACACTGCATAGACTCTGCTGAGACGCCAAACACACTTACACTGCAACAAACATAGATAGCAAGTTACTAAAATGATGGTAGATTAGGTTCATGAAAGGTAAAAGAAAAAAAAAGGTTTTTTATAACAGTTAGTACCTAGCACTGGGGACCCGAGAAGGGATCTGGACTTGGAATTCGAGGGGGAGACCGAGGAAGCCATTGAAGCGGTCGAAGGTGACATGGGTGATGTGTTGAACGTTGGTTGGCCATCCGATCTCCATGTGATGGACGGTGGAGATTACGTCGTCGGGGGGGTCCACCCTGCACGAGACCATAGATTTTCTGATGGCGGCAAGGAGAAAAGCGAGGAGGGAGAGGTGGTTCTGCTCTTCTTCCTGGGCGGTTGGCGGCGCCCTGGTCCTCTTGGGTCCGCCGCCGCATCCTCCGCCCTTGGTAACCATGAGGAGTCCGGTCATTGTGTGGAGCAAGTTGGTATTTTAAATTTGAGGATGCTTCGTTTCTTGCCTCGCATTCAATTCTATCGTTTAAACTTGAAACTCCAATTCCTTTCTCTTTCTTTCTTTACTTTATTTATGGTACTGGTACCCTCACATTCTTACCTCTCTCTTCACCTTAATTACCACTTCTGCCACTCTGCTTTAATTACTCTACTACTTTTTTAATCCGAGTATTTATGGCATTGACTCTGTAGTCTATCCAATCAGACTCTGACACCTTCATATATAGGCTTCAGTTTTTTTATTATTATTAAATTCGACTATAAAATAAAATAAAATTAATAATCCATAGTACATTAAAAACAATTCATTCAATAATTAATAAACATCATTTTTTTATTTATTTCTAACATTGATAAATAATGTTATATAAAAAAAAAACAGAAAATAATATACTTATATAATTTTTTATATAAATACCATTCTCAATAATGAATGATATTTTGGCTCTTAAATTTTAAAAATATTGTGATATTAATTTTTAAAACTAAGAAAATATCAAAATAAATTTTTAAGGTATAAATTATTAATTATATTAGTCTAAATTTTTTTAAAAAAATTATTACTAAAATAATACTATAAATTTTTTAGTAAAATTTATATAATTTTTTAATTTAACAATTTTTTCAAAATTATTCGAATTTAGCTTGACTTTTTTTCCTCTTTTTTTTCTTATCTTTTTATGGTCCATTTTCTTTTCTTTTTTTTTTTCTATGCTCTCTTTCTCTATCTTTCTCATCTTCTTTTTCCTTTTTCTATATTCTCTCTATTTCATAATATTTTTTTTCTCTCTCTTTCTCCTCCTTAAACAAATATTGATTTATGATTTATTAATATATATTTTTTATTATTTAATATTAAAACTATTTTTAATTATTAAATATTATATAATGTTTTGTAAAATTATTAAAATTTAACAAATGATTATTTTTAATAAAATTTAATATTAAAATATAAAATTTTTAAAGATATATTAAAATTATATTTTCATAATTCTATCGGTTAATAAACTTCATAAATTTGAACAATCGATCAAATTCAATAGTATAAATAAAAAATATATAAATACATAAAAGGTTATATGTAGAGATGTTACTTGAGAGAATATTAAATTAGAATTAATTATTTATTAAAAGATTAAAAATTTATTGATTTAATTTTCTTCATTCAAATTTTTTCATTTGTGCTTCTTTTATTAATTATATTTTTTTAAAAAAAAATTTCATTGAAATCTAATAAATTTTTTTCAAATTTTATAAATTCTTAGGATACAAACCCATTAAAATTTATATTACAAAATATTTAATTAAAAAAAAACTTAAAAATCATTACATTCTTATTAAAAAAATTAAATTATTTTTCTGTGTAAAAAGAATTAAGTCTTAAAAATTATTAAATTCTTAAAAAAATATTAAATTTATAAAACGTTTTTATACGTAAAAAATCTTATATAATTCCAATCTAATACAAGCACGTTAATCGCACTTTACGACTCAAATCTTGCCTGCAAAACTCACAGTATATGAAATGGGCAAAATCTATTAGATAATGCTTTTAATTAAGTTTAAAAGTGACACAAAATCTATCATTTTTCTTTAATTAATACTTGTATCTTCTGAACAAACACCAAATGATAAAATAACGTAGACATGATTTGTGCAAGAAGTCATGTCACGGTTAGTCCGGACAGTTCTTTAATTAAAATTTGTAACATCTTATGAGTTATGACAATAACTACATGTCAAAATAAGTTACTCAGAGAGAATTTTTTACACAAATATTATTTTTTTTAAAAAAAATTACTCAATTAACCACTATGCAACTTTATTTACAGACTGTTTAAGATCAGAATTCGGTTCCCGGGAAACTGAATTCCTAGTTGATTTTATATATTTTTTTTTTTTTGGAACGGGCTGTTCTAAAACAAGAACAGCTCGTTCCACGTTAAAAAAATTACCAAAAACTTTGTTTAAAACGGGCCGCTTCCAACATCTATTTCAACGTTAATTCTTAACGTTAGAACGGCCCGTTTTTGGCCCGTTTCACTTTAACAAATGCCACTCTGTTCCTTTAAGCAGAACGACCCGTTCTGATTTCGGAACGGGTCGTTCCGCTTCCAACATCTGTCCACGTTTCCCCTGCAAACGCGGAAAAAAAAATATAAAAGCAACTCAGAATTCGGTTCTCCGAGAACTGAATTCTGAGTTGAAAAAACAAAAAAAATTACACGTTGGTGCTCAGAATTCGGTTTCCCGGGAACCGAATTTTGAGCTTAAACAGTAAATGGTTCTATCCCTGTAGATAAAGTTGCACAGTGGTTAATTGAGTAATTTTTAAAAAAAAAATAATATTTGTGTAAAAAATTCTACTCAGAGAACTATCAAGATATAAAATCAAATTTAATTGAAAGAACTATAGTTATGACATGTTTCATTGTATTTTTATTCTCTTGGATTATTTGTAATTTTGTTAGTTAGTTAGTTAAATTTTTCTAATTTTAAACTTTAACAAACTTAATGTCTTAATCAATTTTCTTTAGTTAGTGTCTTATATTATAATTTGACCATAAATCTATAATTAGAACATTATATTTAAATATTGAAGTTTGTATAATTAAAATTTGCACTTGTATGTTTGGATGGAGATGATGACTGGTAGGTTTTGTTTATTGAGTTTTAAGTTTGAGATTTAGAAATGCAGTTAATTAATGGGTTAGTTCCGATCAGAGTGTTAGGTAGATACACGTCATAATTTTCTTTGATGAATGAAAGGTCTTCGAACTTGCATATGGAGAATCTTTCAATTTCAATAATGTTAATGATTACTTCCTAAAACACCATGTCAATTATTCATCATTGAAAGTAAGGTTAGCCTTTGTGCTTCCATAACTAATATCTTCTGGATTGTATAGCTATTTACAAAAATATACTAATTTTGGATTTATAAAAGATAAACAAAATTTATCCTTTCATTAAATAAGATGGTTCGAATAAATTTTAAAGTAATTTTTTAAAATTAATATTTTTTAAAAGATGAACATTTTAGAATGTATTTTTAAAAATAAGAAAAAAAAACTTTTAAATTACGAGTCTAAAAAAATATAAATATTAATATAAAATAATTTCTTTTTTAAAGAGACCAAAAACATGCTCGATTTTGATTTTTTTAGTACCTGAACAAAGTAAATAAATAATATTCTAATAAATGTTAGAAATAGTATTTATGATCCTAATTGTCAAATATAAAAGTGTAATCATATAAAAAAAAAATTTAGAATAACCAACAAAAGTAATGTATTATAACTTCTTACCCAAAAATTGTTACGAGGTGTAATCAATCCAAGGCAAGAATATTGAGAACAATAATTGTTATGACGAGATTTGGTTATTCTAAAAATAAATTTATTTAGATTTATTTTGTTTAATAATTAATGTGTTACATCAAATTTTAATTATTTAATTATTGAAATAAAAAATTTTAATACATAAATCAAGTTTTAAATTTTTAAAAATTTTAAAAATCATATGATACTTTAAATCAACGTATCAAATGTTTTTATAATTATTCTAAACCCTAAACATTTATGAAAGTTTACAGACGAAAAGCAAATAAGTTAATACCATACCACATTTTTCTCTTTAATTTAATATTATTGATTTATCTTCCTAAAATTATTAATAATTTTTTTTTATTAGTAAAAAATTGATTATTGAATAGTTGTTCATAATTAATTTATTTTCTCCAATAGATTTCTAATAATTTAATTATATATATTAAATCCTTTTTTTATGTCCCTCCGACAAAGGGGCCTTAGGTAGTCACCCCACCAACCTCTGCTGAGGACCAACACTAACCCAAAATAAAAATCTTATTAACCTCTTGTTTAGGAACAGTCATGAATAGAGAAAATAAGTAAATTAAACCACCATCCACTTAATGACTTGATTATTCCATTGAGAATGATATTATTAAGATTTTCTTTATATTGTTAGGACTTGGACTTAGGGTGTTAGAAAAATTTAAGAAAGATAAAATAATAATTTTATAAATATTAAAATTACTTTTACCTTTCTAATACATCAATGTCCTATTTTATGCAATATTTATTTTAAATTAATTATGAAAAATATTTACAAAGATAACATTACTTATAAAATTACGCAAAACTGAATTACGATACTTTAAATACTTATTGTACTTTCTTTTAATAAATGAAAAGCATAAATAAATAACTCTTAAAAATCTAAATATATAGCTTAATATTGAGGTCTTGTAGACCACGTTAGATATTGGTTAAGGAATTAAAATTTATTAAAATTTTCATTTAAAACTACAATAAATGTATATGAAAGATTGTGCAAATACATTTTTAACAAAAATTTATCACTTTTGATTTCTTAATCAATATTCTTAGGACACTTGTTATTGTAGAAGTTTAAGTGTGAATAAAAATCTCAAATTGGATAAAATTGAATATATTAAATAGCATGTAAGTCAGAAAAACTTATCAATCTCGTATCTTAAAATAATGAGTTGAGATATAAGTTCGCTTATTTAATTTGCTAACTAGCTAGCTACGAATTGATAAAGATCTTCCTTGTGCTCATCTCTCATGAGAGTTAGAATTTTTCTAACATTAAACACAAATCCTCTACAGTTGTATCAATAATCTCTTTGGCAAAAATATTGGTCATTAATCACAAAATTATTTTTTAACTATTAGTATTACAATAACTAATAATTGAATTAGGATTTTTTTGAAAAATTGTGATATGTAATCAAAACTTTTTAATAATATAAATTAGTCTTGCGATATTTTTGTATCTATAAGCAGGCACGGATCCACGAAGAAGATAGTGGGGGCACATGGCCCCACTACCATTTTACACACACTTTTTTTATCCAAAAAAATATTTTAAAAAATAAAAATTATATTTTAATTAAAGAAATATATATATTTAAATTATCATATTATAAAATATAAATTTAAAAGATTTGTTCATTTATTTGATATTTATCAAATTTTCGAAGGAGATTAGTTCTCTTAT